AATACCATTAATTTAAAAAATTAGAATTAATATTTCTTATTTCATTTACTAAAGAAATATTCTCGTGCTCACATCCAACTAATAGTGCATGGCATTGAGCTTTAAGGGAAATTGCTCGAACTACCCATACCGTAATTTGAAATCTTGAAAAGCTCAGAAAAGAAAAATTAGCTTTTTTGAGAATGTAGAATTTCTTTTCGAACTTTTATGAAAATTTAGAAAACATTTGAAAAATTGAATAGAGAAATAATTGAGGAAATGCCATTTTTAAAAATAATGAAAGTTTGTAATTTTTTTTAACACCATTATACTTTTTGTAAAACATAAAATTTTTTTGAAAATTTTAAATTTCTTGAAATTTTTTGATACCCATTAATGTCGGTTGGCCCACACTATCAAAAATTTCCGATTATTGTCCGCCAAATAGCTTTTCTTAATTTTTTTTACATATCCAAAACTGTGGACCTGTCTTTGCAAAAATTTAATCAAATTTTAATTTCGTCAATATAAGTTTTATATAATTTTATATAAATTTTATTGAATCATTTATATTCGATGCTTCATTCTCTCATAAATTAATTGCCATTATCTGCATTATTTGCTCCGTATCTCCGAACCTGATGGATCAACATTTCCCAAAAATTTAACAGCACGTCTCCTTATCACTAGGAATCGAATGCTTTGTGAATAATTTAAATCGGTTAATTCGTGCTCCCGAAAACGTGGACGAGACATTGTATTTATACATACGTATACATTTCTAAGGTGTGCCAGAATATTCAGAAACCTTTGAAACGTAATAATATGCAAATATTTTCGTTGGAAGTTAAAATATTCATTAATTTATTATTTAATAAGTACTGCAAAATGTTTTAAAATAATTATATTATGTAATTTTTAATCGAATTATTTTTTATACTAACTTTATAATTCAATAAAGATATCGTTCTGTACTGATCAACAAAATCGTTATTATTTGTAATAACATTTTTTTATTATTATCTTAATAGTAGTATAGTAAATGATGTATCTTTAACCATTTACATATACATTTTTTTCAGATATCAAATAAAAGTGAAGAATATGAATTAATTTTTCAAAATTCACAAAATTATTCCAAAGCTTATTTTGTACTTAGCAGGCGTCCAATCACGTGAGGCTTTTAGAGAGAGGGGGGTTGACAAAAATGACGAAATATCACGTGAGGAAGGGAGGGGTCTAATAAGATATCACGTGTATTTATTTTTCACACGAATTTAAAAACAAATCCAAACATAAAAAAAAAACAAAACTTTACGATTTTTTTCGTAACTAAAAATACACGAAATGTTTAGTGGGGGTGGGGAGAGGTGAGAGGTGATTTCAAATATCACAACGTATCACCAAGAGGGGAGAAGAAAGGGTAAAAAACCTACTTGAAAACGTGTAATAATCAAAACTGATATTTTAACGAAGATCTTTAACAAAATTCACCATTTATTTACATTGGTAAAAAATATGTTACAAAAAATGCCTAAAAATATTCTGGAAGCTGTATTATTCTGTAATAATCCAAAGTCGATATATCGATGGTCCATGATCATGGCTAACAACAGCAATATTATTTAAGTATTATTCTGGCAAACTTCAATTATAGATACACTTTGTGACAAAAATATCTGGTCAAGATTTGACCAGGGCCTTTCTATTTGATCCGGGACCCTTCGGGGTAGGCGATACTATCATATGAGTATAAATACCTGTAACTTATAATAATAAGGGAGACTAGCAAATGTAATGAGAGAAGAAGGTTGTAGAGTAAAGTTCAATATATATCATAAACTAAATAGTGGTTTTATTCACAAATCTTATGGTGATCCTCACCATTATCTATTCGCTGTAATAAAATTGCACAGCTGAATTTTCTACAGCATTAAAATTTTAAATGCAGTACTTTCAGCGTAATAGTATCAAATCATAAACCTAAATATTCTAAATGATAACAAATATCGCGAAAGCTTTTAACATGCTTTTCATAGCTCTTTTTACATATGGTAGTCCCATATAGCTCCGCTCCATTCAAATTTCAATTATATAAATGAACATCAAAGCATTTGGCACAGATGACCCATATTCAGAATTAATATGATTTTCTATTTAATGTCGCTCTTATACATTTATTTTCCCCTAAGTACTGTGTTTGTGAGTGACATGAAAATTTTAATTATTCCCGTAATTTTCTCATTACATGAAATAATTAGTTGATCAGTTTATAAAGAACATAATATACATAACAGTGCATAGTGAACACAAAATCTGTGATAGCTGAGCGTTTGTCGATAATTACAAACTCAGTGTGTAATCAATACTTTAATAAAGCAGTGTCTACAAAAAGCTATTGGAAATCAAAAGCAAATATGCGGTGCATAAAACCAAGCCAATCAATTTGCATTTTCACACTATGTAAATATAGTACTTCAAGGAATATCGGTTTTTATAATGTTTCATAAATATTGGTAAATATCTTATGATATTATAATTATTTTTCGTCGAGTTGTTTTCATTTTTATATCTAATTATATTATATAGTGCATATAATATATTAAGTTGTTTCAATATCTAGCTATATTATTAATAAAGCTAAGAATCTTGCATGTTTTTTTTCTCGCATAATTAATATTATACGTGAGATTCATGGGCATGTAAAAAAATGCAAAATAGTTTGTTAAGCTTACTAATTCACAAAAAAACAAATGTTTCTAAAATATTACATTGCTTTTTATTGTTGCAATAATATTATCAATAATTTCACTTATGATTTTTTTTTTCAATTTCTTCAAGGAGAAGTTTAAGTTTTTGCAAAAAAATCCGGTTTGCTAACTTTATGTTTTCTCAACCTTTCAAGTCATTCTCAATCGAATATGACTAAACTTGGAAAAGTCTGTATGGGTTACTGTCTACGTTTTTTCAAAAACGGGTAAACCCATAGCAACATTTTTTAAAGCCAATTGATAATAACTTCATAAGGACGAACGTTTGTCAGTGTTGCTCGACGATCGGCCGAGCCGTTTCTTTGTAATTAGTTAAAAAGTGATTTTTTTAAACCACGTTTTAGCTCACAATATTGAATTGATTTCAAAATTCAAAACTATTCAAAAGATATCGGAAATGTGAATTAGGATTTGAATTAATTAGTTTTTGGTAAAGATCAAACGGGCAGTCCTGATGAAACTTTGTACAACAATAGATTTCATAGTCTGAAGAAAAAGTCGAAAATTAGAAGTTGAATTATAAAAATTCACCAAAATTTTGTTTTGGCGATTTCGATCAGAATTTATGCCTTTCGTGCATGTAGTATTTCATAGGTATATACTGATTACAGTTAACTTGTTTGAGAGAAGTGTTTCGATTCAAATGTTTTGACTTGTACTGATTGTGTGAAAAAGCCATTTGCTTTTCGAAAACACAGATTCAACAATTTTTTTAAATCCGTGGAAAGAAGAACAAAAAGAAATTTGGAGCAACAATATTCTATTTTTTTAAAATATTTTTCTGGAGAAAGGCGCAAGCTTTGGATTCATTTTTTTAATAATTCATTTAGAAAATAATTATATATTTTTAGTATTTATTTTCAAATATGAATTTGGAAAACCAAAATAAAGTTTATGCCCGCAATCATCATTAAACCACTATTATGGATTTATTTAATTTCGACAGGAGTAGGAACATACAGTATGTCTGATAGTCCTGAGAATTTTACTCCAATAAATAACATTATTACTATTCAGGATAAGAGTAAAATCAATATTGTTTTTACATCTATGAGATGACAAAGAAAGAAGTTTCAGTTGTAAGATTTTTCATCTAAAACAACTTTTGCTTGCAAAAGTGTTCAATAAAAAAATTATAGTTAGTTGAGAAGTAGAATCAATATAACAGAACAAATGGAATAGTGAAATTAGGGAAATAAGATGATGAAATTTTATGAAGAAAAAACAGTTTGATGCAGAATAAAGATTTAAATAATATTAAAAATTTTAAATTCGTCTTCACAATGCTATTATTAATATGATTACTGACAACATTAATGTATGTAAGAATTCATGTTTTAGATTTTTAATTTCAGATTAATCAATGAAACGAAATGAAGTCGGCCATCATTTTAGACGTTTTTTAGTCATAATAATTTGAAATCATGGTCACTTCATTTAAAAGAAAACAAATTAAAAATAATAAATAAGAATAAATAGTAAATAATTATATTCAATTTATTAAAGATTTGGAATCATATAACAATTTGAAAAATAAGACATTAATAAATAAATATATGATGATACAGATTATACGAAGTCTATATAAACACTGACGCTTTTGAGAGACTCAGTCTTCCAAAAAATCAGCAATTATTTTTAAATGAAACTTGCAAGATTCTTATAAAAATATAATTTGAATTCCAGAATAACTAAATGCGTAAGACCCTAAGTATATTTCGAAATAATAATAATTTTTTTTTAGCTACGACCGACCTATTTATGATCATATATGATCAGACTTTTATTTACAGTGTTAGATATGTTCAGTTGTAAGTTCAATTTCGTTCAAGATAGAAATAAATATAAAAAAAATAATAGTACCTATACTTTGGCCTTTCACAGATAAAAAAGCCAAAATACTTTTATCGGTCCGGTTTTGGTATAAATATGCACTTCCAGATGGATAAAACTTTCATATCGATAAATGTTCTTTTATTCTAATAAAAAACGCTAAAAACTACTTATATAAAAAAAGTTACTAAAACAAAAAATATATAATGATAGCATTATCGGATAATAAAATAAAAAATATCACAATATCAAAAAACAATCATGAAAATAAAGTCATTTGTTAAAAAATACATAAAAATCTCAACAAACCCTTTTCCAATCATTTGAATAAATATATTCGTTAAAAAAGAGGATTTCTTCGACTTATGTTACTATAGTACGATAAACTTATTCTCAAACCAGATAATCCAATAAAATTTAAATTGCACGTATATCCCTATAAACCTGCACAAGAATAAGAAATAAAAAATATTCAAGTGATGGCATTATTATACAAAGTTTTTTTAAAATAAGCTTAGGATATTATATTACAAGTAAGTAGATATGGTATGTATATAAAATTGAATAATAATCGGATTACCTGAAGTGGCGGCGCGTGATGTGGTAAGTCTCCATTACCGGTATTTAGTTCCTCGGCGGCAACTGTCTGAGCAGTCTAAAGGAAGGAATTCAATTGTTCTTCTAAAGCATTAGAACACACACATATAAAAGAAACCAATGCAGATATATTGCGCTTAATAAAAATATTATTCATAAAATATAACTAATTAATTAACAGTCTAAGTATAAAAATGTAGTTTGTAAAAATTCTCTGAGAAGATGATTACAAGAGAGGAATATTACAAGTGCTCCTATATCGTATTATTGTGAAAATTAATTTAGTACCATGGCATCGAACTGCTTAAAAGAAAAAGGCCCCTTTCTGAAATCCTTTACTAACATTCGGATACACATTATTCTATTAGCACTGTGTACTAACTTATAATATGTACAATCACTATCGTAAGCTTTAATTGAATTTTTGACATTATTTTTTCGATTATTTTTATAAGCTATGCATAATCAACATCAAAACGGATCACCACTGGGTGACCTTTCGACCTTTTTTCATTATATAATAAACCTTTAAAATTACTGAATGTTGTTTATAACGACAGACTGTAATTCATAAAAGTAAATAAAAAAATTGATAATTATCCAACTATGCAATGGATTTATAGGAATGTAGTCAGCCAAAAATGAAAGAAAGATTTGATTTTTCTACTATTAATAATCATATTGCCTGTATTGTACCATATTTATCAACTGTAATTGATTCAAGATAAAATAAAAATAAAATAGGAAAAGAAACCTAGGTACTATTGAACACTGTATTTGACAAAGCACTAATTTAGTTCTCAGAGGTTTTAGGGCAAAAAAATATTAATCATAAATAATTATATAAACAGATTTGGTGTAGCGGACAAATATACCTACTCGCTTTTAACATTTCGATCTCATTTTTACGTAAAATTACAGAAAAAAGGGTTCTAATTGAAAATAGACTATTTGGTACTACGATATAAGAAGACAAAAAAAATTCCACCCACTAAACTTTTATAATTCGAATATTGTATAATACCACCCAAGAACCAGTCTTTTAGCAGAGAACTCATTACTGTTGTTATATAATATTTATATTAGGTCTACCGAAAAGTTCTGTCCAAAATTATGACATCATCTTCGCCATTTTTATTGCATGATCGGCTCTATTTTTTACAGCTTAATATTTACCAAAAAAAATCGGTAAAACTGAAATTAACAAGAAAGAAATGGTACACAAATGTCTAAAATTTTATTGAAAGTGTTCAGTGAAGGAATAGTTTCTGATAGGATATGCAAAAGATGGTAAAAAAATTGAAACAGGTAATTTCGACCATTCTGTTTCTTACAGGTAACAGGCAATTTCGTACGTTCTGTTCTTTATTCAACGATGATATTGCTGAGGTAATGTTGGAGCAATATCCTTTTCTTACAAATTCGAAAATCGCAGAAAATCTTAAATTAGCTCACCAAACCATATCTGACCATATTCGAATGAGAGAATTTCTATGGAATTTGGATGATCGAGCTGTAATATCCTCATCTTTGCATGCTCGGAATATAATCGAGCCCTTTTTGAACAAGCTGAAAAATCGATTACATACAACCACTAATTATCATTTGTTTTTGATCTAAAAAAATTTGCTAAAAATGTATAAATGGAGAAGATGTCAAACAAGTACTTGTTCAATTTTCCGCACCTAAAGTTGATGCATTTCTAGGATAATCAAATTACTCTCACGCCTTAAAGAGATAATTAAAAATAATGACAATTATATCATTCAATAAAGTTAATTGGCAAAAGAAAGAAAATTTTATTTCTTAAAATTGTTTTATTCCACAAACGGACAGAACTTTCCGGTAGACTTGCAATTAATATTATCGTTAAAATAACATAACAGCAAATCTAGTATTTTTACATGACCGTGCTGTAAAAGATATCTTTCTAAAAATACTAAATTAAAATCTTTCGGTAAAAATGTTGGAAATGGCAGCGTGAAATTGTCTTAAATTATTTTATATTTGCGAAGTACATTTGAAATATTCCGTATTTTCTGAATTTGAAAATATTTCACATACCTACTGAACATTGTGTATTTTAATTGAGAAAACCCTTCTTTATGTTTTTTATATTTTTAACAAATATTTCTTTGCTGGCTGTTTTTGAATATTATATAATTAAGAATTGTGAATCTCACTTTGAGATATCATTATTAATATTAAAGTACTCACATTTTTTCCTAAATTTTGATGATTTAGAGTGCTTTTACCAGAGTAACGCAAATCATAAAATTAAATACCAGCTAATTAGACTGTATTCAGAAGTTTATAATAAAATATTAGCAACATATTGAAAACAAAGTTAGAGAACGTTCTATCATCTATGAACACATTTATTAAAACGATGTTAGTTATAAAACTAAGAAGATTATTAGTGGATATCTAAAATTTATATAGCGTAATATATCTGCATTGAATTCACTACACTATAAGCATTCGTGTATATATGTCTAACCACTATACATAAAAATGTGAGATTTTAAATCCCTTTCATCATTTAAATAATTAATAAAAGACAACAACATCAAAAACGACACAGCTGCAGAATTATTTTTGTGTCAAAACAAAATCCTACGATTACTTCAAGTGACGAATGTACTGTGCTCGGAAGTTGTTAAAACTTTAGAAATAAAAATAGTAAAAACAAATTCTATAGGGTATAGGGCTTACCTTTTTGTGATGATGATGGTGATGGTGATGATGATGTTTCTTTTTGTTTTTGATGATTATTTTCCGTTTCAGGGCGGCTGGTGGAGGTAGCTGAACGCCCTGCTCTAAGGGAAATGCTTCGAGCGGTTCCGCTAGAAGCATCTCACCAAAAATATCTCTGTAAAAGTGGAATAATACATTTTCATCATTATTTTTGATATGTGCCTGTAATAACAGATTTTTCACCTAAAAACAAATTTATATAGAATTATAATTTATATAGAATAAATTTACATATTCATCTAATATATTTATAGGTTATATATAGGTATACTAGGCATTCTTCCTGAAGGGCAAGTTGCATGATGTTTCCGATGTGCAATAAATAATGTATTTAATTAATGAAAATTCTATTTGTATATGGTGTACCTATCTAAAAGTCTACTTGTTTACCTGTTTGAGTGACCACCAGTCCATGTTGTCAACATGCCTGCCTGTCTACATTTCTTTCTGTCCTTGTCTACCTTTTCAACTATCTATATGTCTACTTGTCAACCTGTCAATCATTTTTTTGTCGAAAATTACATTTGGTCTATCTTTCTATATGCCTACTTGTCTACCAGTCATCAATGTATCGATTTCCACATGTAATTGGATCTGATGATTATTTCAGACTACCAAATATATTTTTACCAAATATATTTTCGAAAGTATTTATATATGATGTACCTGTCTAACAGTCAACTTGTTTATCTGTTCAAGTGACTCTTTATCTATCTGTCTATCAATCTAAGAAGTCAAATTTTCTACTTTTCTACTTGCCTACCCGTCAACATTTGTCTTTGTCTACATTTCTAACTATCTATATATCTACCTGTCAACCTGCCAACATGTTTTCCTGTTTTTTGTTTTTTCTTGTATTTGTCTACTTGTATATCTGTCCATCTACCTATCATCTATGTATTGATATTTCTACATGTGCATGGATCTAAATTATGATTTGTAATGACCATTTTAGACCACCAGATGTAATTTTTTTAAACTTTTTTCAAAATTATATTTATATAATGTATTAGTGTAACAGTCAACTTGTTTACCTGTTTAAGTGACTACCTATCTATGTGTCTACCAGTCTAAGATGCCAAATTGTCTACTTTTTCACCTGCCTACCTGTCAACATTTGCCTCTGTCTACTTGTCTACATTATTAACTATCTATATATCTACCTGTGAACCTGGAAACCTGTTTTCCTGTTTTTTATCTATCCTTCTATTTGCCTACTTGTCTACCAATCTATCTACTATCATCTATGTATCGATATTCCTATCTGTACTAGAATCTACAATAATGATTTGTGATGATAATTCCCGACCATCAAATGCAATGTTTTAAACTTTTTTCAAGAGTATATTTATATGATGCACAATCAACTTGTTTACCTGTTTAAGTGACTACCTATCAAAGTATTTACCAGTCTAAGTTGTCAACTTGTCTACTTTTCTACTTGTCTGTAACTGACAACATTTGTCTCTTTCTACTTATCTATATTTCTAACTATCTCTATGTCTACCGGCAACCTGTCAAACTGTTTTCATGTACTTATTTCTATCATCCTATTTGTCTACTTGCCTACCTGTCTAGCTACTTATCATCTATGCGTCGATATTTTCAGACCACCAAATACGATAGTGAAATGTGATCATTTTCATACTCTTAACTTTGTTTCTCTAAATAGCTCGACCTGGCTTTGCCAAAAACTAATCAACACGTCTTTTCAATCTGCTTTTATCTCTGAAACGGCTGGACCTGTATTTGCTAAAAACTAATCAGCACGTCTCCCCACCAATAGGAATTGAATGGTTTTTAAATAATAATGAACATTAATTCAAGTTATTGTAAAGCATATAATCAATCAATTAACAGTGACTGGGTCGGTCGAATTGCCAAAGTATACATTGTAAGTCGTTCCAAAGATTTTATAGCTTCTATATCAGCACGACTTTTCTTTAATATCAAGAATATCACAATCAAAATTTTATTAGTAATTACAAATAAAACTGTATCGATCGGTTTGTCATTGTAATTTTATCGAAAATCTAAAGTAATTAACATTTTGATTACTTTTTTACTATATTAGTACACACATATTGATACCAACCCTAAATAAAAAGTCGAAAACTAATTATGCAAGAACTCGCTTATAACTCTCTCTTTTTTTATATACTTTATTTAATAGCAATCAAAATTTACAAAATTCTGTAAGCTATTGTGCTTATGTTTGTACTCACTCACACAGTATACATACTCACACACAACCATACACACACATAAATAAATTGGCTGAATTAAAAAAAAAATCAAATAGATGCGACTCCATTGAGTGCACAACTAATTTAGCTGAGGTATATATTGAGGGCTGAGTCTGGTCTTTATCGAGATTGATCTATCTTCAAATCAATTGAAACTTTTCTTTTGAGCCTCCTAGATCGGGGTTCTTCAAGAAGATGTTTCACTATTTCATTGGGATGGGATTCTAACTTCTCAAAATGGCGATGACTGGTACTGCTAATTGCATCTTTCACAAATGGTATGTTCAAGTCGTCATGAATAATTTTGTTACTGACATACCATGGAGCGTTTACGATCTGCCTAAGAGTTTTTGATTGAGCTCGTTGAATTCAATCAATTTGAGATTTTTTTGCACATCCCCATAATTCCACACCGTAGGTCCATGCTTTCAATAGGTAATTTAGATTTGTTACCTAGCTTAGAGTTCCTTAGCTTTATTTTTTTACTAGAGCTGTTTTTGAAAGTATGTGTTGCTTCCAGGTTAGTTTGCAATCTAATATCATGCCGATGTATTTTGTTGATGGTTTAACTGGAATTGTCTTATCATAAAATTGAACTGCTGGGCAGGAAGATTTGTTGAGTGTGAATATTATATGAGTTGATTTATTGTCATTGATTTTTATGCGCCATTTGCTAGTCCATTCCTCAATGACTCTTAGATGACTCTGACAACAGTTTCGGTGTAATTGAATCAAAACTAGCGGATTTATTAGTTTTTAGTTTAGCTATTTCTTTGAATACCATACCATATTCAATGAAAAGAATTTAAGATAGCTGCTTATAACCCTGAAGTAAATTTTATAGTTAACGAAGGACTCTAATTATCATTTTCACAGATTTGGCTTTATATAATAACAGAATAAAATATTAAAAACCATAATTAACCAATTCAATGCTCAATTCTATGCATTATTTGTTTAATATAAATAAAAAAGTGAATCATGTGCATGGTTGATTGTTTGATAAAATATGAAAGTTTGAGATTGAATCTATTTTACATATAATATTATGTAAATATATTATAGGGCGGGGCTTAAAGATCTGAGAGTCAAGGTCCACCACCGATATCTCAAAAACAAATAAATTTAAAAAAAATTTAACAACAATATTTGAAAGTAGAGGAAAAAAGTTGTATAACCAGCCATCATCTTAATTCTTGCAACGTCCCTATCAGGAGGTAAATGGCCTTTTATCAATATTCATAACAAAAGTATTATTCTCGTTAGTATTTTTTATTGGTTATGAGCAGTGTTGTTTAGTTCACGAGACCTTAATATAATTTTCAAGTATATTTTATTTTATTGTTTTATAACATGTATTGATATTTTTAAGTTAGATTCAATAAATTTTTTATATACTCTCTAGAAAAGTTTACATGTCGGTGGGTTAAAAAGGACCGACTAAACCTTTACCCTGACAGTAAAAAATAGTGAATAAAAAAGTAAATTAAGTTAAAGAAGCAATTTTACAAAAAATAGATTAAATAAATAGTTATTCCAACTTTGCTGATGAGTATTTCTGACAAAATACCAGATCAAGGTTATATACAGTGTTATCTCTGTAAAAAATGTAACCACAAAATTTATATTTTACATTGGTTGAATAATGTGATTATTATTTCGTAAAATGGTTTTACGAAAAGAGATTTTACTGAAATTTCTTCTTCATTTAAAAATAAGAGATTTAACCTGTTCGCCACCTATTCATCCCATTCTATCCCGCCTATAGTGTAAAAATGATTAGTTGACAAATTTTTGAAAAACAGCAAAAATAAACACATTTCTACAATGATAAATTAGCTGGGAGTTTTACTAAACATAATCAGATAGTTGTTTGTTTTATATATGTTATTTGTTATAAAATAATTTGTTTTGGTTTTCACAATACAATTGCTCAAAGTCAAATTGGACCTCAGTGCTTTACTGTTCCGTTTATTACAAATGCAATTATATAATTACTTTATAAATATCCTCCAATGTGTTCAACAAAAAAATATAAACATTTCATTTTTTTGCAGCTGCTCTGCAAAGTAATTGCACAAACAACTTTAATAAACAGCACCAAGAGTAACATTATGTTATATAGAAATGTCGCAAGCAGAACATTACATACGAACTCATGTGCCACATAGAAAATTTCCGCGTTATATAACGAAATGCCTTAATTGGTGTGAGCGCGTGCAGTAGTGGTTATGGCAACTCGCAATAAAATAAAAAACACGTCGGATGAAAACTAATTAGCAAATTACATAGTGCCCTATAAAAATAATAATAAAAAAAACGCCATTACCTGCAATACGAAGCTATCTTCGCCTGCTGTCTAGGGTTGCAGTGGTTCTCAAACGATAATAACACAGGATAATCGCTGGTTTTGAAAGCGGCTTCCGCAATTGCTTCCAGGACTTCCTTAGCACTTATGTCGGGCACGAAGGTATATCTGAAAAAAATATCATGCATCATTATATAAAAAGCAATGAAATATATGTTAGAAACATTAACTAGTTGAAAGTGGCATTTTGCCTTAAGGTGAGTTGCAAAAACTTCCCGATAGATGTAATAATTGATTTAATGAATCGAAATTAGACTTTAGATATTTATATAATTTTTCGCTTTCAATTAAATCTTAACAATGCAATTTCCAATTTAATGTTTCTAAAAATATTTAAATTTTCTGTAATTATATTAATTATATTGCACAGACATCTGCTTTTAAATCCTAAAGATGTAGTTTATTATTCCACTTTTTAATGAATTGACAATGTTTCACTCTACACATAACAAAACAAATTTTGACACTATTGACTATGATATTTTCAAACTTTGATGAATTTTAAAAATTAAACTACTTGCGGTAGGGCTGTATAATTTCAGTATGTTCTATACTGACCATACCATCTATAGTGGAAAAAAGTTTCATAAGAATCGGCAAAAACAAATTTTTCAACAGATAATTACAAGAAAACAAATCGGTCGATCTGTACCTAAAGCTAATCAGAATCATTCTGAACCAATATTTTGCAAACCATTTTTGATTTTTTAAAATCGATTCAATATTGTGAGCAAAAAATAAAACGAGAAGTTTTACATTTTTCGACGAGCACACACACACACAGATGCGATTTCACAATATAACCAAATTTGGTATCATTCGATTCAGTATGGCTTGAAACGTCGAGAAAACTTAAAATTTTCCTTCAGGAAGTTAGTTAATATTTTTAAATCAGTATTGTATATAAAAGTATATATCAATATGACATAAATATAATGTAAATCTGTCTTGAAAACAAGTTGCAAAAACTTCCCAATATGTGTGAATAATCTTATTATTCACCTTATTATAATAATTTCAATTCATCTTATTATTCTCATAATAATTTTCGACTTAATCAATAATAAGTTAGTTTTATTAATTTTTAAAATAATGACAAACATTTTTTGAAATTTTGACAAGGCCCATGATTCCACACTCAACTGGATTTTTCTATTTGAATCAATTTTCGTAGGCCTATAATATTAGAGCATATTCTTGAAGATCACAAACTCTTTTTTGCAATTTTTTCGGAAAATTACCAAAGAAACATTAAGTTAAATTTCATCCAGTTCATGAATCTCATTAGGTTTCCTGAATAATCTTTAATTAAGAGCATTTTCAAAGAATAACTACATATACCTAAAATTTTAGTACACTTATTTAGAATGTGTGTCATCATCTATTAGTTCTATAATAATTAAGATAATGAAACAACTGACATTTTGTTTGAGTATAGTTGTATTAAAAAATGATGGAATTACCATTATAATTTTATTAACATTATATCAGTTTCAATTTTTCAATCTCAGTTATGTAAGTTAATACGTAACAATAATTTGTTTATGTTTTTTTTGTACGTCTTTAAAATAGTATAGCTTTTGGACTCTATTTTGTAAATCTTAGTTAGTTTTTTTCTTCTTGTATAATTATTTTTTATTAAATATTTATATTAATAAATATTTTTAATTATTTAATTTTATTAACTTCCGTAGGGTAAGTTTTAGTAATTGTCCAAAAATCGCAATTGAAAATTTTTGCATATCTTCACATTTTGACGGTTTCTGAACAGTTTGGCATACCTCGGAAAAAATAGATGTGTGAGTTTGTGCGTGTGTGTATGTATGTATGGATACAAATTTTTGTCCACGTTTTCGGGCGCACGGATCAACCGAACCAAATGGTTAAAAAAATATTCGATTCCAATTGATAGGGAGAAGTTTTTGGCAAAGGCAGGTCTAGCCGTTTTGGAGATTTCGGAACCAAAATAATAATAAATATTTTTTTCGTGATCACTTTTCCAAAAAAACGACCATCGATATCATCACAATCATACTTCCAAGATTAGTCGCTTTAATATTACTATTAAGAACTAAAGTAATATGATTGAATTAATTATTTTGTCTTTTGACACAAAATATTTGTTTGAAAGTCATCAACAGACTAAGTATACAATTTCTATAAATAGACATGAGACTATAAAATAAACACATGGTAATTGAGTTTCAAGTTAAGAACAATATCATCAAGATTACATTTTAAGGTGGTAGTCATAACTATTAATAATGTTTATGTCTACGAATATGTACTATATTATGTTAAATTATAAATAAATTAAAGAAAAAAATATAACTGAACTGATAATAATATAACTGAACTAATAGATACATAACTGAAGTGGTGATCTTTGGAAAGCTTTAAAATAATGATTGAGCTTAATCATATCGAAATTCATTAAATTTAGCTACGAATTGTTTATCGTAAAGGCTTCGAAAATTTTGATTGGGTTTAGCGGTGCTTAAAGATCCGCGGGTAAAAAGTCCACTATCGATCTCTTAAAAACCAGCAAAGTTGAAAATTTTTAACATCAATATTTGAAAGTAGAGTAAAAAAAATGTATAACCAGCCATCACATTGATTCTCAAACTGGCATTTGCTGCACATTTAGCTCTGTATCTCCGAAACGGCCGGATCTGCATTTGCCAAAAACTAATCACTAATTCTTCCCTTCATTACAAATTGAATGTTTTCTAGATAATTCAAATCGAATGCTCCATTCTCTCAAAAACTCGATATATATTTTCTGCACTCTTTACTCCGTATCTCCGAAACGGCTAGACCTGCCTTTGCCAAAAACGAATTAGCATATCTCTCTATCAATAGGAATCGAATGTTTTTTGAATCATTTAAATCGCTTGATCCATGCTCCCGCGAACATGGACAACATTTTTTATTCATACATACATACACACATATTTGTTTCTTCAAACGTAAATTTATGCAAAAATTTTCAATTGCAATTTTTGGACGATTATACTATGGGAAGTTAATAAAATTCCATCAGCTTCAAAACCCAAAATTTATAAATCATCATTATTTATATACTAGTAAATTAATCGTTTGAAACGATACAAACAGGAGCGCAGTTGTTCTAACTAGAGCCAATATTTCCTCGATCGAACATACATGTTCTACACAGTCTTGATTTATAAGAAAACAGATTACTTTTTCGAGTAAAGCAACAATGTAACATAAAGTACTGTCGGAAAACAAACTCGTTTGTTCATTAAATCTAAATTTATTTACGAAACTCGAGAGAGTACGGCTTGCTTTTGCTTTGAGTGCGCTTGATGTACGGGCCAACTGTGATACTGTGATGTCGTGATGCAGTATTTGAGGGTTTTTGCACAGCCGGTGAGAAAAATAAGGCAATATAAGGCCGCGATTTCATTGAAAAATCTCGAACATTTATAGTTCTTTCAAAATTACGTAATATTAATTATTGGGTGATTTTATTACTTATAAATGTAATTTCTAATTACTAATTAGGTATTGAATAATTTTTATTTTTTATAAGGAGTTATACGGGTATTCACTAACTACTAATTAGTTATTGGGTAGTTTTGACTTCCCGTAAGGTAAGTTATAGTAATCATCCAAAAATCGATTTTTTTTTCATATCTTTATGTTTCAGAGGTTTCTGAATATTTTGGCATAACTTAGAAAAAAATGGATGTGTGTATGTATATATGTATTATGTATGTAGATATGGATACATTTTTCGTCCACGATTTTGTGAACGCTGCTTACCTAATTTGAATTATTCATAAAGCATTCGATTCCTATTGATAAGGAGACGTGCTAATTAGATTTTGGTAAAAGTTGGTCCAGTCGTTCCAGAAATAAGGTTTCCAGCGGTTTCGATGTACCATAAAAAAAGTAAAAAAAAAATAATTTTGCGGTCGAAATTTGAATCAACCGAACGATATGTATGGGTATCAAAAACCTTCAAGAAAATTCAAAATCAAAAAAAAAAAATCCGAATTTTCAATATATATCAGCACTTTCAAAACGGAAATCTGTTCAATATTCAAAAGTTTTGAATGTTTCCAAAATTTTCAGAGTTTCAAAGCTTCTGAACATTTTGGCATACCTTAGAAAATATTGATGTATGTATGTGTGTGCGTAGTAGTTGTGTATGTATGAATACAATTTTTAGTCGACGATTTGGAAAGCATCAATTAACCGATTTGAATTATACAAAAAACTTTATTGATTACTTTTTGGTAAAGACAGGTTTAGCCGTTTCAGAGATACTGAGCAAGAGTTTGAAAATAAAAATTATTTTTTTTCAAAAACAGAGTATCCGATTTGAATGAATAAAAAATATTCAATTTGTAATGATGGGAAAACGTCATGATTAGTTTTTTGGCAAAGATAAGTCAAACTTTCGGAGACAGTTTTTGAAAAAACAAAGCATCGGACAGTGTGAAGAAATAATTAGTTTTTGGGGAAGGCCGACAAATTTTTGATTTCAAAAT